ATGGACTTCCAGAAGAATGAACAAATCTGTCCTGGAGGAAATGCTGCCAGAACACTCCTTGGAAGTGAGAATGGCCAGACTTCATCTCACCTTCATGTTGTTAGAAGGAACCTTCCCTGTAGAAGGATATCATGCTTGGTAAAGTGGAGGGTCAGCAAAGAAGGTGGATCAACACAGTGTCTGCAATGATGGGCTCAGGCATGACAATGATTGTGAGGCTGGCACAGGACTGGGTAGTTTTCATTCTGTTGTAACATAGGGTTGCTATGAGTCAGAGCCAACTCGACGGCACCTAACAACAACATATGGTTGCAATCATGTGTAAGTCCAGAATAGGAAAATCTGTAGAGACAGAAAGTAAATTAGTGATTTCCTAGGGATGTGGGAAGGAAGGTGACAGCTAAAGATACAGAGATTCTTCTTCAGGTGATGAAAATGTCCTAGAATTGACTCTGGTGATGGTTGCATATACCTGTGAGAATACTAAAAACTATTGGGTTGTGTATTTTAAATGAGTGAATTGTATAATAAGTGAATTATATCTCAATAAAGCTGTTTAAAACTAGAAAGATAAATAGATAAATTGAATAGCCATATATCTATTTTAAAGTTTGAATTTGTAGTTAAAAAGTCTCCTACAAAGAAAACTCTAAGCCCAGATAATTTTGCTGAGAAATTCTACAAAACACATAAAAGAGAAATAATACTGATTCCACCCAAACTTTTTCAGAAAGCAGAAAAGGAAGAAATATTTCCAAAGTCAGTCTATGAAGCAAACATTACCCTGATACCAAAACAACAACAAAAAAAGACATTTCAAGAAAAGAAAATTACAGCCCAATAACTATCATGAATATAGACACAAAAAATGCCTATTGGAGGATGTAGCCAGCATAATGAGAAAAGAAAAAGAAATGAAATAATAAAGATTGGAAAAGAAGAAATGAAACTGCCTTTATACGCACATACCATTATTGCCTATTTAGAGAATCTGATGAAAAGTACAAAAAAGAATGTTACTAAAACTAATAGAGGAGCTCTGGTGGCGTAGTGCCTAAGGCACTTGAGGCGGTTCAAACCCACCAGCCACTCCTCAGAAGGAAGGTTTGGCAATCTACTTCTGTAGTGATACTGCCTTGGCAACCCAAGGAGGCGTCGCTATGAGTCAGGTCCGACTTGATGGCACATAACAACAACAAAAAAAACCCTAAAATAGATTGGAAATTATAAGGTTATATATAAAATATAAGGCCGATATAAAAATCTGTTTTTACTAGCAACAAACAAGGAAAAAAATTTTTTTAAAATATAACATTTATAATAGTAAAGCATAACTTCATACCTAACACTACAATATATTTAAGGATAAGTTTGACAAAAATGTTAGGCATGCATATGGAAAACTATAAAATACTGCTGAGAAAAAATTAAAGAAGGCATAAATACATGGAAAGATATATTGTGTTCATGGATTAGAACATTCAATATTGTCAAGATGTTAATTCTCCTCAAAGTGATCTACACTTTCATTGAAATCCCAATTAAATTCTCAGCAGGCTTTCTGTAGAAGTTGAGAAGTTTATTTTAAAATTTATCTAAAATGCAAAGGACTTAGAACAGCCAAAACAATTTTGAAAAAGAAGAAGAAATGTATCAAACAAACACTGCTTGATTTCAAGACTTATTGTAAACCTATAGTAATCCAGACAGTGGGGTAAAATGATAAGGAGACCAACAAACACAATAAAAAGTACAGAAATGGAACAGTCTCTCTCTCTCTCTCTATATATATATATATACATACACATATATATACACAGTCAGTTGACTTTTCACAAAAGTGCAAAGGCAATTCCATGGAGAAAGGGTAGAATTTTCAACAAATGATTCTGGAACAATTGGATATTCATAAGTACCATACCTCAAACAATACTTAATACCACATACAAAAACTAACTCAAAGTGGACCACAGACCCACAGAAATACCCAAAACTAGAAAACGTCTGGAAGAAAAGCTTTGGGCTCTCAAATTAGACATAGATAGACATGGTTTAGATAGGGCCTCTAGCCCAATCCATAAAAGAAAAACCTGTTATTCATCAAAATTAAGATCATCTGCTCTTTGAAAGACAAAGATAAGCCACAGAGAAAACTTTTGCAAATCATATATCTAATAAAGGACATGTGCCTCAAAGTTCAATAATAAGAAAAATAAATAAATAACAGGCAAATAATGTGAACAGACCAAGAATAGATATGAATAGCAAATGTTGTTGTTGTTACATACCGTTGAGTCAGATCTGACTCATAGTGACCCCTCCTTGGGTTTCCGAGGCGGTATCACTACGGAAGTAGGTTGCCCCATCTTCCCTCCGAGGAGTGGCTGGTGGGTTTGAACCACCAGCCTTCTGGTTAGCAGTCAAGTGCCTTAGGTGCTATGCTACCAGAGCTCCATGAATAGCAAATAAGCACGTGAAAAGATGCTTACCATCATTTGTCAACAGGCAAATACAAGTCAAAACCACAATGAGATCACACAACTCGTAGAAAAACCAAAAGCCAAACCCACTGCCATTGAGTCAATTCTAACTCATAGTGACCCTATAGGACAGAGTAGACCTGCTCCATAGGCTGTAAGTCTTTACAGAAGCAGACTGCCTCATCTTTCTCCCATGGAGTGGCTACTAGGTTTGAACCAGCAAACATCTGATTAGCAGCCAAATGGGTTAACCAGTATATTACCAGAGCTCCTTCCATGACTCTTAGAATGACTGAAATCAAACACTGAATATACCAAGTGTTGGCGAAGATGTGGAAGAACTAGGACTCTCAACCACTGCTGGTGTGAATGCAACATGGCAGGTTACAAGGAGAGGAGGAAGAGAGGGATTATAAATTGGCCCAAGAAAACTTTTGGGGTGACTGGTATGCTTGTTATCTTGATTGTGGTGATGGATAGACATATGTCAAAATTTATCAAATTGTACATTTTAAATATGTACAGCTTACTGTATGTGAATTATACTTCAATAAAGCTGTGAAAAATAAAATCAAATGTGATCATTCCATTGTGGCTCATATAGTTTTCTCTCATAGTGTTGACTTTTGCTGTTGGCTATCTAGCTATACATTTGGGCCAACAACTTTGCAGTGTCCTACAATAAGCAAGTTTTCCCTGCAAATAGGCTGCTTCTCTTCATCCCAGTGTAAATTAACTTGACAAATGTCCTTTATTGAAGAATAGAGTCAATCAAGGAACACAACAGCAACTTGTAAGTTTCCAAATTGATGTACCTTGTGGTGGTAGGTGCTGACCAAGATAATAGAATACAGAAGTGAGCGTAAAAAAAGGAAAAAGTACAAAGGGAGAAAAAAAAAAAAAAGAATCCATGAGCGAGAGAAAGGGAGAGGAGGGAAAAAGATAAAGTGAGGGTGAAACCAAGTGTTCATTTACTCCTTGGTTTTTGTTTTCATTTTTACTTTTTTTTTTTTTTTTTATCACACTACTAAGTTCCTGATGTCCCTGGCAGATGACAAACATTTAAGATTATTTTCATACATTGTATAATGATTTAGAATACTAATATCTGAAACGAAGTTTATCTTAGAAAAAATGACCAGCTACCACATAAATCACAGGACTCATTAACAACCTGTGATATACAGATGACACAACTTTGCTTGCTGAAAGCAAAAAAGACTTGAAGCACTTAGTGATGAAGATCAAAGACTACAGTCTTCAGCATGGATTACACCTCAACATAAAGAAAGCAAAAATCATCACAACTGGACCAATAGGCAACATCATGACAAATGGGGAAAAGATAGCAGTTATCAAGGATTTCATTTTATTTGGATCCGTAGTCAATGTCCATGGAAGCAGTAGTCAAGAAATCAAATGATTTCTGCATGGGGCACATCTGCTGAAAAAGACCTCTTTAAAGTTAAAAAGTAAAGATGTGCGCTAAGGTACACCTGACCCAAGTGACAGTATTTTCAATGGCTCTTTCATATGTGAAAGCTGGACAATAAATAAAAAAGACTGAACAAGAATTGATGCCTTTGAAGTACGGTGTTTGTGAAGAATAGTGAATACACCATGGAACTACTAGAAGAATAAACAAATCTGTCTTGGAAGAAGTATAGGCAGAATGCTCCTTAGAAGTAAAGATGGTGAGAGTTTGTCTCACATTCCTTGAACCTCTTATCAGGAAAAACCTGTCTGTAGAGGAGGACGTCATGCTTGGCAAAGAAGAGGGTCAGCAAAAAAGAGGAAGACCCTCAACTGGATGGACTGACACAGTGGCTGCAACAACGGGCTCTAACCCAGCAACGGAAGTGAGGATGGTGCAGGACCAGGCATGCTTCACTCTGTTGTACACAGGGTCACAGTGAGTCCAAATGGACCCAACGGCACCTAACAACAACCACATCAATTATAATTTTCCCTCATCTTCTGGATATATTCACAAGGTAAGGTGCCACCGACCAATTTTCAGAACACTTTCAGATCAGCTATTCCTCAGTAATATTTCAAACACTTCTTGTTCCATTTAATCTTATTCCGACATAACTTACCTTAGCAGAGTTGGTCACGGTGGAGCAAGGGCAAAAATAACCAAATAACTATTTGGCAGAAGTTGTTATATAAGCCTGAATCCTCCATCCCCAACTCCGAATACTGAAACTAGGGCAGTTTTATTGTCCCCTTCAGAAAGTACATTCAAAATAAAACCACATTTTTTTTTTTTTTAACAATAAAAAATGGTCTAGACTTAGGGGGCAGGAGTGCTTAGGAGGGAAGGACACAGGGAAGAGGTACCTATGGGGAGGAAGTGGGAAGGGGAGCTGTTGCATTGTGGGAAATTGCAGACGATGTCATGAGACAAAGTGTATTTGAACTGCTGTATGGAAAGTGAATTTGCTCTGTAAATTTCACCCAAATCACAATAAAATTTTTTTTTTAAATGGTGTAGAAAAAGCTGTAAGATTGTCCTACCTTGACAAAAATTGTTGAATTGCATTCTTGCAATGCCTCCATTAAACTAATCACGTGGAGACACACCATTTCTACCATCTGAAACAACAAATAGGAAAATCAATTCCACTCCCAATGATATGGAAACTTTGCAAAGTCTTCGCAGCCATGGAGAATCGACTGGCCTGTGCCCTGCCCTGTGACGTCTTTCTGCATAATGACCATAGGGACCACACAGAGGGTGTTTGTTCTCCTCTACATCCTCAAACTGGGGACTGAATGAGAAAGCTCAGAGGTTTTGCAGTTGGCATGCCATTCTCGCCTAACTCAGAGCTCCTGGTGGCACTCGGTATTGACCTCACTAATCCGCACTGCTCTCTGACTCACACCAGAGGATAAATGGCTTCCGCGGCCTTGTTTCCAGCTATAGAGCTCTTTGGGCTTAAATCCTGTTTTCCATCTTGATCCTCTCTGCACAGTTTCTTCATCAGGCGTGGCTGCTTAATTTATTGCAGGTCTGGCTTTGAAGCTCAAATCTCTGTGGCACAAGGTAGCCATGCTTTAATGCCAGTTCAAAAGTACAACAGAAATTATATCGTTCATCAGAACTTCCTGCAGCTGGATTATAAGCCCTCCAGGGGATTTTACCTGTCTGGTTTATATGGTCTAACAAAATTCTCAGAATAAATTAAGTTACATTTCTTTGTCACCTCATGTGCATAAAACTCATTTGTAACAAATTCATTTATAACATCATTTGTACAGAATTCATTCATAAGCAATGCACTGATCACATATGCATTATCAAGAGAGATTTAGGGGAGGGGTAGTATTGGTATCAAAAACCCAGTGACAATATAAAGAAATTTCCAATTCTGACCTGTTTAAAGTCTTAGTTTCATTACCTGTAAAATAACTGGATAGAACATTTGGTCTCCAAGCCCTTCGTTAGTTCTAGAATCTATAATCCTATAAATATAATTATCTCCATGGCAGAACTGTTTGTGAATCCTGAAATTTTCACATAAATTTCCTCTAAGTTGACCTAAAATGTGTCTTTCATACAGAATTGCCTTATAAAATGTACTTTACTTTGGGAAAAAAAATTAATAATAAAGCTTCACTAAAGGATATGTATACTCCCCTCTCCAGTTAAAGCTAAAAGAAAATATTTCTCACCTTAATCTTCAATTAATCAAAAATCATTTCTTGACTGCTTTTTGTGGACAGTGCAGTGTTGGATTTGTGGGCTGTTCATAAGATAAAACCCCACTGATGGTGTTGCCTGTAACCAAGAGCCTGGTTGCTTCTCCCCCAGCTGAGAACCCTCAAATGTAGCAAATCAAACCAAGAGGTCCCCTTGTAAGCTCCTTATCCCCTCCAGCCTTGACTCCATGAGCACTCACCCAAATTGGTTCAATGCAGTTGGCTCATGCTGACCACCCTCAGATGTTTTCCAGTGAGATTGGGTGGAGCCCCTCTCTCTGGGAGCCATTCACATCCAAATGGATTTGAGGATTAGATCATTTAGGTGCTTATAGGGCAACCCCAAAAGGGAAGGGTTTTTTTAGGCTTTGGTCCCTGACAGGAATGAACATGCCTGGTTGGTCTGCTCTTAAACCAATGCAAAAAGTCTCCTAAATTTGATATGATTTCCCCAAATTGCCTGTTGTTGTTATGTGCCATCAAGTAGGACCCGACTCATAGCGACCCCTCCTTGGGTTTCCGAGGTGGTATCACTACGGAAGTAGATTGTCCCATCTTCCTTCCGAGGAATGGCTGGTAGGTTCGAACCGCCAGCCTTCTGGTTAGCAGTCAAGTGCCTTAGGCACTACGCTACCAGAGCTCCCAAATTGCTTAGAAATCCCAAAATAATATGAATCTCACTCCTAAGTCCCTGACTTTATAGCATCAAAACAATTCTGCAAAGGCAAAATTTCATATAAATTCCATTTGACACTAGGTAAAGAAAACAAAATTATTTTTACTGAATTTACTTGTTTGCTTTATTTTTAATCTAAATTCTTAAGCAAGTAGAATGTGCCATTTATCGTGTAACAAATCATCATTTATTTATATAATATCACCACTGAGGCCTTTAGAAGGCAGATGGTGTGAGGACTGAGAGTGGTTTGTGCTTTTTGAGATCCTACCTAGGAGGGGAAACCTATTCGTGAACTTACCACTTTGTTATGGGCCATTAGTTGCAGGATGCTGGGTGTGACCCTACTCCAAAACTCCAGTGCTGTCAGAATCGCTGTGAAGCTGAATTCATTCTGATTTTGGACATTTGTAGCTACCGCACTCTGCTCACAATACACCGTCCAGAGCTGAGCAAAGATGAACGCATGGAAGAGGGAACACATGTGCAGCACAGAGGTCTGAAAAGGAAGAAGACAGGGAGCCGTTAAGCCCTAGTCCGTGCAGCAGCCAAAAGCATCTAATTCAAGTGGTCCAAGGCTGAAAGAGTTCTCTCTGAGTTAAGACTCATGACTCATCACCTGCAAGCAATCTGCTCTTGCTCAGGCAGTGGGAGTGTGCTCAGAGAACAAAGCATCTTTTCAAAGAGAAGGCACCTTAAATTGCAGAATAAATCTGCCCACCCTCTGTCCTTTAATGAAACTGACGTTCCCACTCCTAAACTAGATTAGGGTGTTGAAAATGGTGTCAGCACACCACTGTAGGGTGTTTCCTCTGTAACATGGGGCACCCTCCTTCAAGACTTGTGGTTAGAAGTAAACAAGGTGATGCATCTGAAAGCTCTGTCCAGTACGTAATCATTGTTGTCGCAGAGCAATACTCACACGAGTAGCAGGCACTGAGGGAGTGAGCACCTACAACATCCCAGCAGATCACCTGCCACAGTTCTCAAACCACCCCTCGTCTACTTTACAGGCCAGAAAACACAGCTCAGAGAAGTTAAGTAACTCTTCCAAGGTTACAAAATTAGAAAGTAGCAAAGTTAGGGATCAAACACAGATCTGGGTGGAAATGTTAGGGAACTGACTGGCTTTTTGCAAACATCATTCAGGTCATTCGGACAGACATTCTATTTAAAACTCACCCTCGCCTAAATGCCAGCTGTCACCAAACCCACTAAAACCTCTCAGAACTTGCCTGAACTTCTGTAATGGGCCCTTGGCTCCTCTTGACAGATAGTGCCCATGTGTCTGGTGTCTGTGTGTGGGCTCATGACCGATGCCTTCCCTGGATTTACTTGATTCACTTAAACACATCATCAGTATCTACAGTTTGCAAATGTCCTGCGTATAGGTGGTTCCACCTTGTGCTTTAGTGAGTTCCCAGCTGGCCTTATTTTCACTTTGTATTTTCACGTATCTCTAGAGACTTGAGTTTAAAAAATAGTGCATGAGGAATTAGATAGACCATAAATTTTCCTCTACTTCATATCTGCTTCTAAAAACTGATGGTAGACTTTTTATCATATTTCTAGCCTTTTATTTCTCTTCATTATTTTGAGACAGAAATGCCTAGGAAGCTAGCTCTTGCTTGCTTCCATAATTTATCTTCCTAAAAGTAAACTGAAAAACAATTTTGGGGAAATAACAGTAGTCTGGGAATTTAAACGACTTTAAATAAGGCATTAGCACAAAGTTGCTCTTCTAACATCCACAGGAGGGCAAGTGATAAGATGCATTTTCTTCTCAGAAGAAACATAATTGGCTGATAAGGGTTTCCATTAGCAATTTCGATGCATATGGTCTTAATCTTGCAGAAATCACTTACCTTTGATTGCTCTGGAAATCCAATGAGGATAACAATGAGATGGTCTGCAATATGGGAACCTGCATCCAGAGGTATAGGGAGGCAGGGAGAGGAGGCATTGGGACACACTGCATTATGAGTGAGGGAACCCAGCAGCAGCCAGGACAGCAGACGGATGTGGGAGACACACTCGATGAATTCTTTAGGTCTATTAGAGAAGAAGGAAGTTTGAATGATGGTTTTAAGTATTCTGTCTCATTGAGTGCTCAATAAATGTTTACTGAAGGAAAGAATTAAAAGAGTGATCCTGTGGGCAATTATATGAAATAAAACACCAAGGCAACAGAACGCCAATAAAATAATGTATATTTTGTTTATCATTTTAATCCTGGATTTTGGCTTCTTGAACAAATAAATAGCAGCCTGTGGTGACACCGGATTAAATACTCTGCCTCCTTCTTCCACACACACCTGGCTTTCTCTCCCACTAGCTTTTCATTTTAAACATTTTTTTTTTTCCTTCCCTCTCATTAAAAAGTTATTTGACGCAGGGGACATCAAGCTCAATTGGCATAACATACTACACAAAACATTGTTCCACATCCTACTTTGGTGAATAGCGACTGGGATCTTAAAAGCTTGCAAGCAGCCATCTAGATGCAACAATGGGTCTCTCCTTGTCCAGAGCAAAGAAAGATGAAGAAAACCAAAGATTCATGGAAACAATTAGTCCAAGAGACTGGTACACCATGTGATCCTCAGCCTATATGACTATGAAACCAGAAGAACTAGATGGTGCCTGGCTACCACTGTCAACCACTCAGAGAGGGATATATGTAGGAGATCCTGGATAGAGTGGAAGAACATTATGGAACAAACTCAAAATCATTTGGGAAAAAAAAAGAAAAATGGACCAGGTTTGCTGGTCTGATAGAGGCTGGTGGAACCACTGGACTGTGGCCCCTAGCTGCCCTTCAAGTTTGGAATTAAACCCACTCCTGTGGTTTCCAGCCAAACAAAAAACAGGCGTAAGAGGTGAACATTTACACTAAGTAGATACGTAGATACACCCCTTGGAAAGAACAATCATAGGAGAATATAAGGGTTGTGTATGCACAGAGAGACAGCTCAGGGGGTAGGAGTGCATGGAGGGATGGACACAGGGAAGAGGTAACTATGGGGAGGAAGTGGGAAGAGAGCTGTTGCATTGGGGTAAATTACAGTCAATGTTATGAGACAAAGTGTATATGAACTGCTGTATGGAAAGTGAATTTGCTCTGTAAACTTTCACTCAAATCACAATTAAAAAAAAAAAAGTTATCTGACATCCCCGTTAGAGGGGAAAAGGAGAAGATATACACAGTCACCTATTTTCTATTTTCTCCTCCTGCTGTTCTCACCCCTAACTCCAAACCTTGTCTCCAGCCAGGAAGGCCAACCATACAAAAGCACAGGCTCAAGTCTGCTCTGAGTTGCCAGCTGAACCAGCCCATACTCACCTTTCCCTTGTTTAGCCTCCCTTACAAATAGGATCAGGGGGTTGTACCTCCTTGATTAGACTTTGTTCCAGCTATACTCTAAGCTCCTTGAAGGCAGAGATTATGGAAGTACTTATTAAATACCTACTGATTTCTTTAAGTTGAAATTAAGAGCTAAAGTGACTGTTTTAGGTCCCAAGTTGTCATTATCCATCATGATGGAGGCAAGTTCTTTTGTTGGCAGCATGTCATGAAGTGCTTGCATATATTAATGTTGCCAGGTAAGCAAGTAAGTATGCAGATGGACCTTCATTTCCATCTTATTAAACAATCATGTTCTACCTCTATAAACCTTAGATTCATTCGTTTTGCTCCAGCTGAGCCCCTGGAAATTCCCTATCATTTCCTGATTTGCTTATACTCCTTTTGGAAAAATAAGGGTCTTACCCTTGTTGCATGGCAGATGGAGGGTGATAGAGCCAAGGCAGGTACCGAATCACAGCTTTATTATCTCTGTGGTTGCCCCGTGAGATTTCCATGGCTGCGATCTGGGCCAGCCCGACTTTGAGATGTCCGCCAAATGTATCTTCATGCAGAGGCTGGGAACAGGCCTTCATGTGGCTCTGCAAAACCAGACAGTACATTGAAACTCTGCACGGTGCCTGGAGATAGCTCTTTAAAATGGGGAGCTTGACATTTAGTTTCCTCCTGTCACCACTTCCAAGTACACACCCTGCTTAAACTTCTTCAGTTGTTTCCCATAGTTCTTAGGACAAAGGGGGTGTTGGGGGGGAATTCTTAGATGGCCTAGAAAACCCGGAATGATGTAGCTACTGCAGACCTCTGCCCCTCACCCTCTTATCCCTATGGCTTGGCCATACTGGCTTTCCGTACTCCCTCTCACAGCCAGGTCTTTCCTCATGTTGTTTTCCCTGCCTGGAATACTTTAATGGCCTCTTTTCACCAAATTAACTGCTCAAGTATCACTTCCTCCAGGAAGCCTTCTCTGGCTGGATCAAATTTTCCCGTTAGAGGATTTGTGTGTCAGAGTGAGAATTACCCTTTTGTGTTGTTGAAGTTTCCATTAAATTCTGCCTCCCTTGCTAGATTATAATTAAATGAGGATAGCCACTGTGTTATTTTTGCTCAGCATTGTCTCCTTAATGCCTAGAACTGGGTCAGGTACATTGTAGGTGCTCAATATGTGTCTGTTGAACTACTTTAGAAAGATTCATTTTTTCAGTGTGACACAGTGGGAAGAGAACTGAACTGGAATTAGGAGACCTAGGTTGCAGATCCTGCTTGACCCGCATTAGTTGTATGGCCTTGGACAAGCCACTCACCCATCTACCTTTTGGATATGTTTCCAAATATATAAACCAGATGGTTGAATTATGTCTGTAGTGCCCAATTCTTTGATCATCAAGGATCCCTTTTCTTTCTTTCTCCATGTCTACAAAACAAGCTAAAAACTTGTAGGAAATCATTGTTTCCTCTTCTCTATACATCAAAGTCATTTAAATGAGTATCCTGAGAGTCAGCAGTCAGTAGCCCATGAACAAACAAGAGCTAAGGATGCGGATTTATAAATTACTGGATTTAGGTATCATGAGAAATTAAACTTAAATTTTTATTCTATTTTCTGTTTAGCATTTGTACATCTATGACTATACCAAGAAATACTTTGCTCATCTCAGCAGAGTCTGAAAACTGAGTGCAGTGGTGATGCCACCATAGCTTTAGCTAATCACTAATCACCGTCTTGGATTACTAGCTTCCTGTTTATCATAAAGGCATCCTTTAATGTCAGGCTGCAATTTGGCTGTTCTTGGGCCATGTCTGTTCTCTTCTGCGCTCTTTCCAAGGCCTTCCTCAAATCTCCCAGACCATTAATCTTCAGCTCCCTAGCTGAATCATAGCAGGGAAATTGACTTGCATCAGCAATTCATCACACGCCACAAAACAATACGTGCAACAACTTCTCTTGGATTTTGTCTACATGCAAATTAAATGTTGTTCTATCCTTGTTCTTGTATTATTTTCTTGAAGAAGTTAGCTTCAGTGAAGACAACAATAAAAGGCTTACGTTTGCATAATGTGTTACAATATACAAAAGTCTTCACATTCATTATATCCACTCCTCACTTATTGGCATGTTTAGGTCCCAAAGACCAGGTCATTAAGCAAAAGTGGAGGATGACCACATCAGATCACAAAAGGGAAGATGATATCATTACATCACTGCCAAATTACATTGTTATGTAACTGCCAAACCACCAAGAATCATGGCCCAGCCAAGTTGTCACAAAACCTTAATCAGCACAGCTAGCGTCACTCTCACCTTACAGCGCAGTGTTCACTCCCACCAGATGAACACCGTCAATGTGCAAAACAGTCAGATAGTAGATTATTCACTATTGTTGTAAATGTGAAATGTCAGATAACAAGACAGTTGATAAGTAAGGAGTAGGTGTATTTCACAGCAAACCTAGCAGTCAGGCAAGGTAGGTGCTATTAAGACTTATTTCCCAAGTGAGGAAACTGAGGCTCTCGGCAGCTAAATGATACGATGTGGTACAGAGAAAAGGGGATGGGCTTGGAGTCACTACAGTTTTCATTTTAACTGCTGACCTCACCACTTATTAGCAGGGTAGCCTTGAGCAGACACCTTTCCCTCGTCAAGGCCTGTTTCTGCATTTGTAAAATGAGAACAATACCTTAACAGGGGGATTGTGACAACTGAATAAACGGCACATGAAGGCAGACACACAGTTAGGCCTAATCTTTTTTTTTTCCCCTTTCTCCTTTTCCTCTTTGCAGAGCTGGGACCCAATTCTTCAGACTCCTCAGTCATGACCTCATTCTAGGATGCCACATAGCTGTAACAACAAGGTCCCCGTCACCTGCTCAGTTCTCTAAGAATGTCTGTGCTTTGTAGACCTAGGAGACGGATGGACCAAAGCTCTCTTACCTTCAGCTTGGTGAGGGTGTGCATGTCAGCCATGAAATCCAGCACTTCATTGATGTACTGCCGCATGCACTCCATCGCCGCCGTCCCACACTGAAACAAAGGACACCACTGGGTCTTGGGCTGAGGGACGTCTTTGCACTCGCCCTCACTCCAGTGACCATCACTCTGACTTCCCGCTGCCTGCTAAGGAGTTGTTTCATTCTCTGGATTTCTGACTCATTCCGTTGCCCTCAGCATTATCAGTGATTATGTCCGCCAACATGAGCCAGTTTGGACAAAATCATTAAAAGGATTGTGGTGTAGAGCAAGGAAGCAGGGAAGGCCTAGAGGAGACAGGATATTCAACTGGGCAATTTAAGTGGTATCTGCTTGCTTATTTTCAACTGGTTTTTATACAAAGATGTAACTTATGTAAAGCCATTAGTATCTGCATCTTTATGACCTGGATCATCCCACAACTACAGTCACACTTTATCATCTAGGAAGTCTGAAACCCACCGCCATCGAGTCAATTCTGACTTACAGTGACCCTAGCACATAGAGTAGAACTGCCCCCATAGGGTTTCCAAGGTTGTACATGTTTATGGAAGCAGATTGCCTCAGCGTTCTCCCATGGAACGGCTAGTGGGTTTGAACCACTGATCCTCTGGTTAGCAGCCCAGTGTTTTAACCACTATGCCATCAGAGCTCCTTAAAAACACATAAGATATACACCACCAAATTCTACCACCAGAATCTGGAATCTTTTTCTATCAAAATAATAATAATAAAGTATACAAACAAAAGCCATGCTTGCTGCAAGAGTCGGAAATTTGCATATTCAAGTCAAATCGCTTACAACTGAACTTCCCATATACAGTGGGTATACTGTTAAGTAGATAAACGTATTATTATCTAGTTCCTGTAGAAATTTTTAAAAAAATTAAAAAAGGAATGAAGTGAAATGGCCATCTTTTCCCTGTATGTTAGCAGTGTGTCTAGGAAGTCTTAAAGAAAAGGAACAAGTACATGAACAAGAAAGCACGCTTGCTTTTTAGGTTATTCAGTGGCACAAATCTGCTCTCTCCAGGCAGTGCAATGGATTCAGGGTTCAAGGAAGAAAAGGAAAGGAACAGGCAGATTGCTCCTTCAAAGCCGCACTGAGAGAGCCCACAGGTCAGCTGGGTGCAACGTGGTGGAAAGCAGCAGGTTTTGAAGCCAAATGAATACGGAGCCAAAGGCCTTTCTCAGGTTTATTTAGGAAAGTCTGGAACATTATACACTGAACTAGCTCAGCGCATGGCCCTCCTTTCCCATCTCCGTGTCAATCTGCATGGCACTGAACTACCCCACCTTCCGTCTCTTCTAGAATGTCATGCCTGTCAGTCCCTCTGACAGGATAACAAACAGTCAAAGAAGGTCACTGGCAGCTCTGTCGAGAGGGTTTCCCAAGCATTTCATAGGTTCTAAGGTTTTCTTCTTTTAATTTAAACCAAGGGAAGGAATTAGAAAAGGTTATTGTGCTCCTGCTTTGGGAATATTAATCCTTCAGGACATGAAAGGCCCCCCCCCCCCACCACTGATCCCATCTTCCTGACCTTTCACACCGCATGCAAATAAGTGCACAGGCCCCAATGCTGAGTTTCTTGAAAAGGATTTGTTTCTTTCATAGGCAATATTTACATCACTTCAACTTGGCAAATGTCACAGAAGATAATTGCTGGGAGCATGATCCAATATTTGTCTTTTAAGTTTGAATTTCAAACTATGAGAGCAAAGCCTTTCCTATTACCTGGTTACTTTTGTTCAAGAGGCGGCAACTGCATCTAATAAAAGCCTTAAAATCCACTTAGTCAGGATATCTAGTGAGCCAGCCGCACTCATAAAACAAAGGATGTTATTTCCAACCATCCCTTTTCTTCTTTGTAAAGTGTGTATGTATAACTGTAGCTATGTTATTAAAAATTTTCTTAAAAATAGGAAGATTCAAGCTCCATTTGTTTCAGAAGGCCTATATTTATTTCAATAGAAAAACTGAGAAATGAGCTGAAAACATGGACTCTAACCTCAAATATATGACTTAAAGTGAATCAGATCCAATTCTTCCACAAAATTTATACTTGATTTTAAAATTACATTTCTTAGATTATAAAAGTAACATGTGTTCAATGTAGAAAACTTGGAAAATATGAATAGATAATAAAAAAGAAAAATTTAAATCATCATAAGCCCAATTAACATCCCCCACCCCTGGAAAACCATTGTTCATAATTCCTTCCAAGTTTTTTTTTTAATGCATATAACATACATATATATTTTTATAAGACATATTTTTTTTCTAATCTTCTTTTTAATTAAATCCATCCTATGCACTTTGCAATGGATATTCTTTGAAAACTTGATAGAGGAGCCACATAATAGTTTCTTATGGGTGTACCTTATTTTATTTAAACAATATCTTAATGCTGGGTATTTGTTTTATTTCCCTACTTTGGTTATTTTAAATGATGCTTTAATAAATACACTTGTAAATCCATCTTCAGGGGCATACTGAATTATTTTCTCAAACACATTCCAAAAAGCAGATTGTCAAACTGCCCTCAGCAAAGTAGTACCATTTTTCACTAACTACCATTAGTTTACAAGAAGGCTTGCGTCATCTCACTATCAATGACTTTTATCTTTGCAAAATATATGCTGTTCACCCCATGGCTCAGCTTTCAGCCAAATAAAAGCTAGGCCTCTAAGGTGAACACTAACACCAGCGAGGTACTCGACCTTTAGAACAATCAACCACAGGATTGAAAGGGCAGCAATGCCCGGGGATAAGCTCAGAAGACAGGAAGGGACAGGAAAGAAAGATGAATAGAAGTGGGAAACACAGAGTGGAAGTGAGAAGAGTGATGCGACACTCTGGGGACTGTGGTCAATGTCCCGAAACAAAATGTGTATGAACTGTTGAATGGAAACCAATGTGCCCCGGAAACTTTCACCCAAATCACAATAAAGTTATAAAAATATATATTTTATATATACACTGGATTCACTA